TGTGATTAAATATACTTTAATGTTTGAAAAATATTCAGTATTATCATTGTTTAGGTAATAAGCTCTGTATCATAAAACAAATAGCTATATTGTGGAAAAATGAATTTTCTATAATATAAGCATTTGTTAAGTATTTATTATTATTTTTTTAACTTTCATCGAAACGACATTGTTGTACATGTAGTTAAGGATAATATTAGACATTAATTGCTAATTTTTTTTAATTACGAACTATTTGTGCTCAATTGTTGACATTAATAGCTATCTGTTGATGTGTTAAAATTTTGGAATAATACAATAATAAAAATTTTAATTTCCTCTCTATGATAGATGCCGTGATCTGTAAACTATATTTATTTATTTTTGTCTACCGGACTAAATGTTCCAGAAATCTTATTAAAGAGGAATACGCGCTCGAATATTCATGCTGGTAGATTACAACAATTAAATATACAGTTTAATAAATAAACATCGTTTCATATATATATATATATATATATATATATATATATATATATATATATATATATATATATTATCGCACATTGAGTGGTCGTGCTAATAAAATAGTACTCGATGTAATATAACACAGGTATAAATTATATATTAATAAATAAACCTTTTCCCCCCTCACCGGTAACACTTTAAGGAAATAATGTAAATATATATATATATATATATATATATATATATAAATACATAAAAATGAAGCTCAATTGTACCCCATATATATGCTTATTTCCTATATATATATATATATATATATATATATATATATATATATATTGAAATGGATTAAGTCCGACGATCATTTGTGTATATTTTCTGTTTATACGTTATTTTTATAGATAGAAATGCTTAAGTAAATGCACTGTTTTTTTAATAAAAATAAAGTATTAACAACATTTACCGGCTTGAATGTCCGAGAAATCTCAAAGTAAATGAGAAAGAATTCCTCCGACAGGAATCGAACCTGTATCCTACACGGAACCGCCATATAGCCTGACGTGCTCTAGAATTTTAGCTTCAATGGAAATGCCTGGCTTACGCGGTTAAATTACTGTTTTTGAACTACAAACATCCCAAGATTTCTCTCGATCGCTCATATTTGCTTGAAGCGTATCTTAACGTAAATAAATGACATAATATATTTTATATTCTCGGACATTAAGGCCGGTAAATGTAGTTAATACTGTTTATTATAAACAAAGCATTTACTTAAATATTTGTACATAATTTACATTATTCGGACTATTGTCCTCATCTTTGTAGTTATATTTATTACAACGTTTCAGCCATTGTACGCTACGGCCTTCTTCAGGTGGTTGGAATGTCGAACATAACGCTTTATTTCGCTCACTTGTGTAGACTGTTCTAGTTCCACCTGCCATGTTTAATGGATGTCAGTTATCAGTTATCTTGTACTTGAATAAGGCGTTGATTAGATCTAGTGACAGGACCCAAAGGGTGTGAGTTCAATACCCGGTTAAGGCAGTGGAGAACTTTCAGAGGAAAATTAACAGGAGATAACTGATAACTGACAGCCATTAAGCATGGCATGTAGAACTAGAACAGTCTACCCCAGTGAGTGAAATAAAGAGTTCAGTTCGACATTCCAACCACCTGAAGAAGGTCGGAGCGTACAACGGCCAAAACGTTATAATAAATATGGCGACAAAGATGACGACAATAGTCCAAATAATGTAAATAATGTGCATAATACCTCATCTCAGAAATATAGACAGATATTAAATATTTGTATCTATAAAAAAACGTATGAACAGAAAATATATTAAAATAATTTTGTATTTGGCCTGCCATGCTTCTTTTTTATATGTATCATTAAAGATGGCTGACAAAATAATGCGATTAAGCCTTTTTATTCATATCTTTTTGCGTTCGTATATGTGTTTTCTTTTCTGGACATTAAATGTGTAACAACTGTCCAAATGTTCGATATATCCGAGCGCTTTCGGCTATTCTATTAGCCATTATGAAGGATTTTTTTAAAAACTGAATATGTAGATTTTTATATATGTATATCCGTAGCGATGAGAATGTTTTTTTTTTTTGTTGTGAACATATTCATAGCTGATATTATGGAGTGTTCGCTTTTTCTTATTTTTTATTATTAATGCTTTCATTATTTTAAATCGAACATGTTGTTGGCGGAGTTTACTAGATTTCCGTGTATTTTTAAATGAGTCCTAATTGAGCTATGGTCGGACCGATGTAAAGTGAGTCTTCTTGATAGGTATGTAATGGTATGTCCAATATATTTATTCATGAATTTGGTTTAATCAGGAACATAGTTCCTTAAGGCCATGTAATATATATATATATATATATATATATATATATATATATATATATATAAGTTGAAAATCTGTATTAAACCCGACAGAATGATTGAATAAGGAACAAGAAGGAATTTTTTTTTAATATATAAAGTTTGTTGTCTTTGATGTTCCGACAAGATGGATTGAAACAACAACAATTTAAAAAAAAAATTCCTTTGGGGTCCTATTTAATCATTCTTTCGGATTTAATCGTTATTTTCAGTTCAGCTTTTGCCGGAAGATTGAAACCATAAAATTTATCGATTTTTCTATCTATTTATATGTAACGAATTCGAGTGGAATTCGAACGCGGTCCTCCGATTTCTCAGCGTGTTGCGAATTGATTTACAGCCTTTCTAGGGTCTGCTAAAGGAAGGGAACTCAAGAATTAAATCCCTGGGGTACCAACTCACTAGGAAATCCCAAAACATAATTCTAACACAAGATCCCATAACCCGCAAGGTGATTTGTTCATTTAACTTTTTTGTTTGCTTGTTAATAGCTGACTTTTGTTTAATTAAGTGGAAACCACAAATCATCATGCGCTTCACTTGGCCTGGGTCAATGGTCATGACCTCGGCATAGGATTATAAAACAAATGCAGGCCATTTTAGATAATAAATGCCCTGATGCGACTGTCGATTCTGATGTTAATTGATTGGAAGTGTTTACCAATACATATTCCGTCTAGAGCAGAGTTTCTCAATCTACGGTCCATTTTAGCCATGGCAATTTTTAGGTGGGCCACAATGGTTTTATAATTGGATATATTCTGTGTAAAAATGTTTTACGCTATAATAATTAATTCAAGGGCCATACAAACATTCTGGGTTCATAGTGGACCATGAGCTAAAAATAGGTATATATATATATATATATATATATATATATATATATATATATATATATATATATATATAAATATAAGGTAAAGATATAAAGGACGGCATTTTGTGTATCTCGAAAGCATTGAATGGATGTCGGAAGGTTTTTCTTTTTAAAATATAGAAGGATGAGTCAGCCAAGGCAACTTGGGAGTCGCATCTAGATACTTGGCAACACCCTCGATCGGAGACTGTTTGAGAGGAGCGCGTTACCCAATGTTAAGGTATTACTAACCAGGCCCGCCTGCAAGTTTAGGCGCCGCTTTTATTAAAACCTGTTTCCATATCGCGCCAAGGGGAGCTTCGTCTATTTGTACTCCAGCGTCTCTTTGTTGGCGAGCTGCTCATTAAATTAATAATAATTATAATAATGATAATTAATTACACTAGATTGTTCGGACTGTTGTCCTCATCTTTATTGCCGTATCCATGACGTTTCGAGCCGTTGTACGCTCCGGCCTTGTTCAGGTATTTAGTCTTTCGAACTGAACCCTTTCTTTCATCCACCGGGGTAGATTGTTCTAGTTCCACGTGCCATGCCTCTTCCGGATGTCTCACTTATCTCCCTTTAATTCAACATTCCAAGTTTTTCTTCCCCTCAGCTGTAGCCAGGTATTGAACTCACAACTCTTTGGCTCAAGTCCCTGGATTCAACCAACGCCTTTATCACCTGGATTATTAACTTTCGGGACTTATAAACCTAATGTATCAGTAATCGATTTTTTTACCAGAGCTCATATTGCAATTTTCTTTATTATTATTATTATTATTTTTTTCTTGCACTCTGTATTACTAGTTCCCATGTTGTACTTATTTCCATGCTTGGCTACCTTAGGGGATTTTGTGGCCTAGCATATGTGCTGATTCTTTAAGTTTTCGTATTTTCCAGTAATGTTCTCTGTCTATTATTTCAACCTCATCTCACCGGGGGAGGGGGATTGGGATCTCCCTTTTCCCTCTATATGTGGTCAGCTATGCTTGAGTTTTCTATTTCCCCTCGTGTTACCGCTTTACGATGTTCCTGCAGTCTAACCTCAAGTGGGGGAGGACTGTTTCTTCTTTATATTTCTTGCCACAACTGCATGGGATAGCGTACACACGGTTCTTAATCATGATCTCTTCTATGGGAAGTCTTACTCGTAAGAGGTTTCTACGAAGTGTTGAACCACTTTTGAAGGTCGTTCTGATGTTATATGGACCGCAGATCTTTTGCATTTTTTTTTTTTGATAATCCCTTCACATCGGGTAGGCAGCCCGAGGCTGATTTCTGAGTGTTGTTTTCCTCTTGCACACTTCTATCCCAGTTTGTCGCAGCTGCTCTCATGTACCCAGGGTAGTTGTTACGTTGTAGGGTACTGCTTATAATGACCCTTTCTTGTTCATATATTTCTGGGTCGTCACTTATGACTTTTGCTCAATGTTGTAAGAAACGGACAGTCTCTATCTTTGCACTGTGTGGGCAGTGGGAGTTGAAGTTGAGGTACTGTTCGGAGAATGTTGGCTTGCAGCATACGGATGTCTTGAAACCATGCTCTATTTGAGATATTAGTACATCCAGGAATGCTAATTATTTGTTGTTTTCTCTGTCCATTGTAAACTGTATTGATGATCTTACTGAGTTCACATGGTCCTGTAGTAGCTGGGCCTCTTCCCGGTGTGGCCAGAGTATGAAGGTGTCATCTACGTATCTCAGCCATAGAGTTTGGCTTTAGTGATGTGGATCCTAATACTATTTCTTCGAAGTATTCCATGTATATGTTACCAATTGCTGGTTATAATGGTGAGCCCGTTGCTATGCCTTCATCCTGCCGATATATGTCTATTCCAAATGTTGTTTGTGTTATAAAGTCAGCATCTCCATCAGGTTATCTATTGGCATACTGATCCGTTCTCTTAGGGACGAGTCCGAGGCTAGTATGTCTCTGATTACTGATAGTACCTCCTCCCTGGGTACCTTGGTGAACAAACTCACTACGTCCAGGCTCACCATCTGGTTGGATTGGATGGCAGTATATTTGATTATTTCCACGGAGTTTCGGCCATGTGATGCTGACTCTGCAGTTAATGTGTCAATTATACCCACAAGGAAGCGACTCAGAGGGTGGCACACAGAGCCTTGGCAGCTTGAGCGGAATACCGTCTTTGTGAATTTTGGGGAGACCGTATATGTGAGGTAGCTTGATGTAACGTTTTGACAACTACCTGTATGTCTTAGGAGGGAAGTGGTTTTTGTGCTTGATTAGAATCTGTGACATTTTTCATCCCGTTATCAGTGTTAGGGCTCCCTTTTCTTTATTCTACTTACCATTTGTGATGAGGTCTTCAAGTTTTCCTATATATTCTGACTTTCTGCACACTAACAACACACTTCGGACTGGGATCAAACATGTCTCAGAAATATAGACAAAATTATAATAATAATAATAAATGTACGAGAGACTCATTTAAGTGATCCCTGGTAGCCAATGCGTTAAAGAAATACAAAATATTGTACTCACAAGTACAGCGCAAATACAAGGTTCTTGAAATGGAAATCTCAAAAATGTGGCACATGCGGACATCAATAGTTCCAGTGGTAGTTGGAGCCCTCGGTTTCATTGAAAAAACGTTCCGATAGACTCATTGAAGGGATTCCTGGAAGCCCATGTCTTAAAGAAATATAAAAAAGTAATATTTAGCTCTTCAAATATAAAATACGATGGTAATAATAATAATAATAATAATAATAATAATAATAATATTTAAGGCCGCAAACAAAAAAGTGGGTTCTTCTTGATATAGCAGTCCCTGCAGACTGCAGTGTATCTTTGAAGATCTTCAAAAAGCTATCAAAATACAAAGACCTTGAAATCAAAATCTCAAATATGTGGCACATGGGAACATCAACAATCACTGTTGTAGTTGGAGCCCTCAGACTGGTTGGAAAATATATCTGGTAGACTAACTGATGGGATTCCTGGAAGCCCATGCCTTAAAGAAGTACAAAAAAATTGTTCTTACGAGTACAGTGCACAACATACGAAGGGCTTTATCTATGTAAAATATGTGTGATTTTTGGTTTGTTTTTAATTGGTCAGTGGAACGTATCATGATGCCATTTCTAACCTTAGGTTTCTGGGCGGGACCCGGAAAGAAATGAGTATACAGCAGAAATCAAAGGAAATAATAATAATAATAATAATTGTATTTACATGTATAACTTGCACATTACGAAGAGTTTTATTTATGTAAAATGCGTGTGATTTTTTTTTTTATTTTTACAAAAATGATCAGTGAAAAATGTTATGAAACCATTTCCGACCTTAGGTCTTTGGTTGCGACCCGGAAGGAAATGTGTATACAACACCTATTAAAGGAAATAATAATAATAATAATAATAATAATAATGGTCATTTTTCCTTTTTTCTTTTTTGCAGGCCTACATGATGCGGTATGGCTATCTAAAATGCAAGCCTCATAGCAGGAAGAAAGAGAGTCGGATGCGAAACCGTTACCGCCTGTTTAACCGACCGGGATCGCATCATCTTCATCATCAACAGCAATCACAGGGTTCGAGCCTACTGTTGACGCTGAACTGTGACAAACAACGTGTGTCACAGGCCATCATGCAGTATCAACGAACTTACCATTTGCCCGTCACGGGACAACTGGATAAAGGCACAAAGGAGTTAATGTCCGAGTCGCGATGCGGAAATCGTGACCAAAACGACGGCGTTGTAGACGAAGAGGTCTTACAGGCCCAGCGAATTCTACTCCAGCAAAGAATCCAGTCCCACCAGCAGTCTTTTCTCCGATCGAATCGCCGTTTTGGACGCAGTGTCGAGCTGAGGGAATCCTTAGCTAAGGAACACAGCGAAGAAGGGACAGATGAGAGGGAAAGTATAAAAGAGATTGACAACGCAGGATCCAATTCTGGTTCTGCTTCAAAGACATCAACGCCAAACCCTCTCCATCAGAACTGGCTACGTTCGCCTGACGGTCCCCAAAACACGGAGGACGACAACAGATCCGAGGAAGATAGCGAACCCGAGAAGGATTTCCTTTTCCCCTCAAAGGTTTCCGACGACGAGAGTCTGTTGGCACCATTTTCGTCGCCACGGACAACGACGGGAATGTCTTTTCACTCTCTTCCAAAACAAGGGTCGTCTCTTCTCAAGGACGTATTTTCACGACGACTCTCGAAGCAAACGTATAGAGGCCAAAATGATCCAAAGTCTGTGATTCATAACCAGAATTATAAATCAAAAATTTCTATAGGCACTGCGCAAACAGCAGAAAACTCTTTTACTCTTGACCCTTCTTTAAAATATGGAGGCACCAACGAACAGTTTGATAAAAAAGACGGTCAAAGCAGACGGCCAAGGACGCTTGGTCCGCTGCTAGACAAAACAAACTTATACGAAAGCCGTCACCGATGGCGATCGACGTCTGGCTCAACAATGGGACGACCCAGCAAAAACAACCCACAAACGAAATCTGTCACCGCAGCCACCAATTCTCTTATTTCCTTTTCTTCTTTGCCTTCTGTCCCCTCCACAGCGGGAACCCCACCGATTGTCGGGGGTGTTCACAATTACTTACATAACGATGAGGCCCGTCTTACGACGGGCTCACAGGCGACACCGTCACCATGGTGGCTTCCTTCCTTTCCCCGCAAATATCCTTTATTGTCAAGCTCGTCACTTTCATTTGTGCACCACCCCTCGACCCATTCGCGGTCATCAACCCCGGCTTCGTCATCTTTTATAAAATCTACTCGTGTTCCGCACACAGACTCTGGGGCGAGCACTGACCCCATTAGATCATTAGATGGCGACGGTTCACTAAGGCCTAAGTACAACCATAATTTAAGAACAGACAACAGTAGCAATGAGTTTAGTAGTGCTACTAGTAGTATCAGTAGTAATAGTGTTCTGTTGAATAGGACATCTTTGAAGACGACGACGACCCCAGAGACGACACGATCGTCATTCGAGTCGGAACCTGTTGAATATTTGACAAATAAGAGTGTTTTAAATAAATCTCTTGACAATGATGAGAACGAGGCAGCCTTCACCGGCGAAAGGAAAGATAATGGACAAGGACTTACTACTGAAACGACTACTATACCTAATGGTCATGGGCCGGATAATTTGGAAGTGAGCAACCGGAAGTGGACGCAGGTCCGAGTTGAAAGCCAACCCCAGTTTGTTCCGATCGAAGGACGTTTAGACAGAAACGAGAACAACCTGGCCGAAAAACGCCCGTGTCGTGCGGGCAGAGCCGATTCTCGGGACATCGCTTGCCCCCCTTGCAAACGGCGGGCGAGTGTCGGATCGTCTGGCTCGTCTCAGACGCTGACGTTAAGTAAAACAGGTCGTGAATCGAACCGTTATCGCTGTCGTCGCCGACGCCGTCGTCTTCGTCGACAAGGACGTCACCGTCGGAAACTACTACTTGAAAGGGGTACCACCTTTGCATCACCCCCACCAACCTCTGAATTTTCGTCTGTTTTCCCATCGCGACGACCGTCGTCATCATTATCATCAACATCATCATCGTCATCCTCCTCCTCCTCCTCCACATCGTCATCATCATCATCATCATCATCAAAGCAGCGACTGAAAAGATCGCCAGCGCTTCAGTATCTTATGACGAACAGTATTCCGGTTGGGTCACAGCCGAAATCGAGATCATGGCCACGCCCTACAAACACGAAGTCTTTCACGAGAGAAAGCCCGGCATATCACCCTACTCCAACCACGCCGCTTTTATCAACACCATCATCCAGGCCACAAACTGAATCACCAAGCAATTCCTCTTCCCAATCGGAAGCCTCCCCATCTGCCATTGCTTCTACCCCTCCATCATCACCTGTTTCCCCTCGCCCCTCGAAGCCTTTGACTGTCAACGGAACCCCATCGTTGTCTCTTAGGGCATCGGCAATAGACAACACACACTTGGTCAGTACTGGGGAATTGACAGGTGGTGATGTTGCCAAATTTTCAAGAGAGCCAACGAGTTGGCCTGAACTTGGTAAACAAGGAGACGCTAGTGAACGAGTCACCCAGGGCGCCCAAATGAAGTCCAGCGTAAATTATGAGTTAGCAGGAAGTGCGCATTTGGGGACAAGTAAACGTAATGACCGAAATAGTCGGTTTGAAAAAGAAAGCAATAATAATAATAATAATAATAATAATAATAATAATAATAATAATAATGGATTGGATGATCATGTAGCTTTCAAGCGACGAAGGAAAGAACTTTTACGTCGGCCTTCTCCGGATTCGACGTCATTTCTCAAGTCGCTAGAGTTGACAACTCCACATACAAGGTGGTGGAACAAACCCCAGAAGAAGTCCTTACTTTTATCTCTAATTCGATACAGAATGAGTCCCGAGGAAAGGCAACATTTTCAGGTGCGATCAAATTTCTTGCATCGGACTATTGAACAATTAAAAAAGACTGACCCACTTTGGCTCCGAGGTATCCCGGCTCAGGAAAGGACCAAACGATCATTAGTGGTCAACAATATGACCGCCTGGGGTCAGATGTTTAAGAAGAAAGTGGTCCGTTGGCGTCTGCTTTCCTCGGGCTATAGTAATCGAATACCATTGGAAGAGCAACGGGCAACGCTCACTTTGGCCTTTCGCATGTGGAGCGAAGTTATACCGATTAATTTTGTGGAGGATCTTACAAGTGATGTGCGAGATGTGGATATACACATCGCATTTGGGAGGGGTAAGTATTTTTTTTTCTTTTTTTTACCAATTTTCTGCTTTATCTTTTTTTTCAGGT